TAATCCATCTGGAGTTAATTTTTGTATAAGGTGTAAGGAAGGGATTCAGTTTCAGCTTTCTGCATATGGCTAGTCATTTTTCCCAACACCATTTATTAAATAGGGAATCCTTTCCCCATTGCTTGTTTTTGTCAGGTTTGTCAAAGATCAGATGGTTGTAGATGTTTGATGTTGCCTCTGAGGCCTCTATTCTGTTCCACTGGTCTATACCCCTATTTTGGTACCAGGACCATGCAGTTTTGATTACTGTAGCCTTGTAGTATAGTTTGAAGTCAGGTAGCATGATGCCTCCAGCTTTGTTTTGTTTTGTTTTTGCTTAGGATTAGCTTGGCTATGTGTACTCTTTTTTTGGTACTCTTTTTTTCATTTTCATATGAAACTTAAGGTGGTTTTCTCCAATTCTGTGAAGAAAGTCAGTGGTAACTTGATGGGGGTAGCATTGAACCTATAAATTACTTTGAGTAGTATGGTCATTTTCATGATATTGATTCTTCCTAACCATGAGCATGGAATGTTTTTCCATCTGTTTGTGTCCTCTCTTATTTCCTTGGGCAGTGGTTTGTGGTTCTCCTTGAAGAGATCCTTACCTCCATTCCTTTTTAGTTGTATTCCTAGGTATTTTATTCTGTTTGTAGCATTTGTGAATGGGAGTTCACTTATGATTTGGCTCTCTGTCTGTTGTTGGTGTATAGGAATGCTTGTGATTTTTGTACATTGATTTTGTATCCTGAGATTTTTCTGAAGTTGCTTATCAGCTTATAACATATTAACCTTAAATGTAAATGGGCTAAATGTCCCATTCAAAAGACACAGACTGGCAAATTGGATAAAAAGTCAAGACCTATTAGTGTGCTGTATTCAGGAAACCCATCTCATATGCAAAGACACACATAGGCTCAAAATAAAGGGATGGAGGAAGATTTATCAAGCAAATGGAGAAGAAAAAAAAAAGCAGGGGTTGTAATCCTAGTCTCTGATAAAACAGACTTTAACAAAGATCAAAAGAGACAAAAAGGGCATTACATAATGGTAAAGGGATCAATGCAACAAGAAGAGCTAACGATCCTAAATATATATGCACCCAGATACATAAAGCAAGTTCTTAATAACCTTCAAAGAGACTTAGACTCCCACACAATAATAGTGGGAGACTTTAATACCCCACTGTCAATATTAGAGCAATGAGACTGAAAATTAACAAGGATATTCAGGATTTGAACTCAGATCTGGACCAAGCGGACCTAATAAATATCTTCAGAACTCATCACTCCAAATCCACAGAATATACATTCTTCTCAGCACCTCATTGCACTTATTCTAAAATTGACCACATAATTGGAAATAAAACACTCCTCACAAATGCAAAAGAACAGAAATCATAAAAGTCTCTCAAACCACAGTGCTGTCAAATTAGAACTCAAGGTTAAGAAACACTCAAAACTGCACAACTACATGGAAACTGAACAACCTGCTCCTGAATGATTACTGGTTAATGTCCTTGCATTTTTATAGAATATCTCTAGACATACACATGAGAAAATTGTAATAGTGATAGTTCCGGAAAGCAGCCATGAGAAAAGAGATAGATTGTATACTTTTTGTACCTCTTGAGTTTTATCCCCATAACACACTTACTGTGCCTGTATGTTTATAATGCTCATGTATACAATATCTTAATTCAGATTGCTATGGAGAACACCATCATTTGGTGTTCAAATTCAAACTAAGAAGTTTCTCTCCCTTGTAATAACTTCCTCTTATTTCAAAATGACAGTATATTATTTTGGTTGCTGAGAAGCTGAAAGCCACATCAGTGTGCAAGGTAGTAGCTTCCTGTATTCCAGGTTTGTTTTCTGGCATCATTGCTGCTTTTCTTAATTCCTTTACTATATTTTTTATTCTTATACTAATTTTGAGTTTTATTTATCTGTACCTTTTACCTATCATTATATTCTTAAGACTAACATATGAAGAAAGCCTTTAGTGAAGTGTAACTATCTTTTAAGGATGATTACCAGTTTATTTAGAAAAATGTTCTTTTTAATACTCAAAATTTTAATGACTGTAAATATTCTAAGTCCTATCTTTAAAAATTGAAATCAGTTTAAGTTTTTTGAGTAATTCATTATTGATATATTTTAAGTAGAGAAGTTTGCAGTAACAACTGGTCTAAGTATTGCTCTTGTGCAGTCTTTATTAGCATTGTTTAAACTTACCTTTTTTTCAAAAAAATAGGTCATTGCTTCTTGCTGATCTTGACAAAGAAGAAAAGGAAAAAGACTGGTATTATGCTCAACTTCAGAATCTCACTAAAAGAATAGATAGTCTTCCTTTAACTGAAAATGTAAGTAACCTGGCAGTACAACTTATTTTAAACTTGAGTAACTTGATATTTTAAAGTACCTAGGTAATTCGTTAAAATTCAGAATAACTGAACTTACAGTTATTTATAAATTATAATATGTTTTACCCAATTTTAAGCCCAAATATGTAATAATTATTGAATTTTTGTTTGTAAAGATGGGAAAATTTATTGTGCTCAAATGTTTATTTAAAGCACTTATTGAGAAAATCTGAAAAGTTTGAATTCTAGAGGACCTCAGGGTTCCATTAGGCAATTAGCTTTTTAATTCTGTGTATTGAATTGCCAGACATACTCTAGAAATATTTATCACCATCTGCCTAATTTTTGTACCATGTTTCAGGAATCATGCCAGATGGTTTTTGCAATAAAAATGTCTCTGAAAATATTCCAGCTATAAATGCCAATAGTTATAACATGGATCTTAGTATTTTTGCAAACACTAAAGTTGGTATGTTTTGAAAATGTAACTGTTTTTAAAAAAATTTCTAAGGAATATAAAACTATTGACCACTGTTCACCAGTATTCACAATAAATTAAGAGTATATAGTTGAATAACATTCTGATTTACTACAAAAGGTTCTTTTTCTTGGCTACTGCTGAACTAGTAAAGCATATACTGAAAAGATCAAACCTACGTATAATGAATGTATTAGAGTAAAGAAAAAACATGTAGGTCAATAGTTTAGATTACAGAAGCTTATTCACCCATTTATGACAGCAGATTCTAAACTGCCACCATCTCTAACTACCTGGTTAGGTTTCCATGAGTCAAGTATTAGACATTCCATTAATCATGACCTTTTAGTCAATATAACACAGAGATTTCAACTTTTTGTTAAGAAATGACTCACCATGGCCAAACGTGGAGGCTCACTTCTGTAAACCCACCACTTTGGGAGGCTAAGGAAGGTGAATCACTTGAGGCCAGGAGTTCAATACCAATCTGATCAACATGGTGAAACTTCGTCTCTATTAAAGTAAATACAAAAATTAGCCAGGTGTGGTGGTACATGCCTGTAGTTTCAGCTACTCAGGAGGTTGAGGCAAGAGAATCTCTTGAACATGGGAGGCTGAGGTTGTAGTGATTCAAGATCACGCCACTCCACTCCAGCCTGGGCAACAGAGCGAGACTCCATCTCAGTAAAAAAAGGAAAAAAAAAAAAAAAAAAGAAATGACTCACCAGAGGAATCTTTAAGTGTCCATTTAACTGTCTTGTTTAGCTAATTAAAATACACTAGGATTTGTCTAGTTTCCTCATCTGGATGTTGTTGGCAATGGTAAAATTTTTCATTTCCAAAATTTTGCAAGCCATTGCATATATAGATATGAATTCTGATATGGCTGTTTTTGAATTATCCAATTTAAATTGTCCATTTAATTAAAATCATTTATTTAACTTGAAATGTATTACTTCAGGAAATTTTCCAATTTAACTTGAAGTGATTTATTTCTTGGATTGCTCAGAATGATGTCATTTCAGAAACATTGAATTACTTGTGTTTTTGTTTTGGTAAATGTTTACAAACAATTTAAAAAGAAAACATTTACGTATACATTTTCTTTACACACACACAAATACGAAACCCAGAATGGTCCTTAGGCATATGAGAACACAAGTTCTGATTAAGTAATGACTATGGAAATTTCCCCTAATGTATTTAGAAAAGCTGTTCTGTCATGCAGTGGACATAACATACCACGATATCAAATTTTTTTTTCTGATGAAGGAAGCAACTACAGAAAGCTATTATTTATTTGTTCAAAGTAACCAGTGCTATTAATGCAAAAGAAAACCCCAGCAACTCTCCCAGTACTACTTTCAAAACGAACATACCAAACTTGATTTCTATTAAAATGTAGTTATTTCTTCACACTAATAAATCAAAAATCAAGACCTGTATAAAACAATGTGAACAATTACTGTGCTTCATCTTCTGGACAAGAATGCCAAGTTAGTTTCTCTTTATAAAAAGCAGTTACAATTTGAGGACTCTTCTTATTTGCCTCTTTTGGCAGCACCAACTCTGCCCAATCGCAATCCTTCTATTTCATCAGAAACATCTATTCTCCACTGCTGTCTGTGGCACCATTTAGTCTTTTAGGAAAGACTTCTGGCAAAGCCTTATGGTTTGTCAACTGCATCCCTTTGCTTCTTTGATTTGCTGTCACAAGATTCACTGTCAGATAAAGATTTTCTTTCTGTACCATCTTTTTCTTGACTAGTTTTTTTAGAATTAAAAATGCTTCAGATAACCCTGAACAATCTAGATTTTCTTTAGGTTCCCAAGTGATGTCAGCATCTTTGAATCCCTTCCACATATTTTACTTTAGCATTCATTACACTTCACTCAAGTACTTTTTCCACCATAGATTCTTCAGGCTCTGCCTCTTCATCCTTTTTACTCTTTCCATCCTGTTCGTTTCCTATTTTTGGCAGTGTAGTTTTATTGGAGGCCATTTTATATTGCAGACTTGAGGAACTGATGTTCACCACCTCCAGGCTGCTCCAGTTTATAGGTCTGTAGTATTCTGTCAAAAAAGTTCTAATTCTGTCAGCCTCTCTCTCTCCATGTCAGTGATTTTATTCACGGGATGGCACATGTAAGATTGTTTCTCGAATATGTTTATAGAGGCTGCTTCAGTAGCATATATCCTAAAACTGGAACAATGCAGAGAAGATTAGCATGGCCCCTGTCCAAGAATGACATGAAAATTCACAAAGTACTCTATTTTTGTTTTTAATTGTACTTTAGGTTCTGGAGTACATGTGTAGATCATGCACGATTGTTGCACAGGTACATACATGGCATGGTGGTTTGCTGCCTCCATTCCCCCCATCACCTGTATCTGGCATTTCTCCCCATGTTATCCCTCCCCACCCCCGCTGTCTCTCCCCTAACCCCCCTACAAAAGACCCCAGTGTGTGATGCTACCTTCCCTGTGTCCATGTGTTCTCATTGTTCAACACCCACCTATGCGTGAGAACATGCAGTGTTTGATTTTCTGTTCTTGTGTCAGTTTGCTGAGAATGATGGTTTCTAGATTTATCCATGTCCCTACAAAGGACACAAACTCATTGTTTTTTATGGCTGCATAGTATTCCATGGTGTGTATGTGCCACATTTTCCTTGTCCATTCTGTCATTGATGGGCATTTGGGTTGGTTCCAGGTCTTTGCTATTGTAAACAGTGCCACAGCGAACATATGTGTGCATGTGTCTTTATAATAGAACAGTGTATAATCCTTTGGGTATATACCCAGTAATGAGATTGCTGGGTCAAATGGAATTGCTATTTCTAGATCCTTGAGGAATCGCTGCACTGTCTTCCACAATGGTTGAATTAATTTATACTCCCACCAACAGTGTAAAAGTGTTCCTATTTCTCCACATCCTCGCCAGCATCTGTTGTCTCCAGACTTTTTAATGATCGCCATTCTAACTGGCATGAGATGGTATCTCAATGTGATTTTTATTTCCATTTCTCTGATGATCAGTGGTGATGAGCATTTTTTCATATGTTTCTTCATATATGTCTTCTTTTGAAAAATGTCTGTTCATATCCTTCAACTACTTTTGAATGGGTTGTTTGGTTTTTTTTCTTGTAAATCTGTTTTAGTTCTTTGTGGATTCTGGGTATTAGTCCTTTGTCAGATGGGTAGATTGCAAACTTTTTTCCCATTCTGTTGTTTGTTAGTTCACTAATGGTTGTTTCTTTCACCGTACAGAAGCTCTGGAATTTAATTAGATCCCGTTTGTCTACTTTGGCTTTTGTTGCCAATGCTTTTGGTGTTTTAGTCATGAAGTCCTTGCTTGTGCCTATGTCCTGAATGGTTTTGTTAGGTTTTCTTCTAGAGTCTATAAGGTATTAGGTCTTACGTTTAAGTCCTTAATCCATCTGGAGTTAATTTTAGTGTAAGGTTTCAGGAAGAGGTTTAATTTCTGCTTTCTGCACATGGCTAGCCAGCTTTCCCAACAGCATTTATTAGAGAGGGAATTCTTTCCCCATTGCTTGTTTTGTCAGGTTTGTCAAAGATCAGATGGTTGTAGATGTGTGGCCTCCGAGGCTTCTGTTCTGTTCCATTGGTCTATATCTCTGTTTTGGTATCAGTACCATGCTGTTTTGATTACTGTAGTATTGTAGTATAGTTTGAAGTCTGGTAGTGTGATGTCTCCAGCTTCGTTCTTTTTGCTTAGGATTGTCTTGGCTATGCAGGCTCTCTTTTGGTTCCACATGAAGTTTAAGATGGTTTTTTTCCAGTTCTGTGAAGGTCAGTATTAGCCTGATGGGGATAGTGTTGAATCTATAAATTACTTTGGGCAGTATGGCCATTTTCACAATATTGATTCTTATTAACCATGAGCCTGGAATGTTTTTCCATCTGTTTGTGTCCTCTCTTATTTCCTTGAGCAGTGTTTTATAGTTCTCCTTGAATAGGTCCTTTACATTCTTTGTTAGTTGTATTCCTAGGTATTTATTCTCTTTGTAGCAATTGTGAATGGCAGTTCGTTCTTGATTTGGTTCTCTTTAAGTCTGTTATTGGTGTATAGGAATCTTGTGATTTTTGCACATTGATTTTGTATCCTGAGACTTCACTGAAGTTGCTCATCAGCTTAAGGAGATTTTGGGCTGAGGTGATGGGGTCTTCTAAATATACAGTCATATTGTCTGCAAATAGAGGCAATTTGTCTTCCTACTCTATCTTTTTGACAAAAAAAAGAAAAAATATATTTATAATCTCAAGATTATGTATTTTAACTATTATCCATAAATTTTTTAAAGGAAAATAGGCTAATTAAAATATAACTTACTCTCTTAGCTTAGATTTTCATTTTCTAATACTACTTTGAGAGCCTACAGTAGACAAAAAGGTAAAAGTTGAGAGAAAACCCTTTTGAAAACATTTAGCTAGCCGGGTTTCCTGAATGGACATTGGCTGACAGGAGATGGAACTGGGAATTTAAATGCTCACTCTCCTAGAAAAATCATTTAGGGTTGGAGAGAGAGAGAGAGGATCCCTTTTTCTGACAGTGCCCTTAACATATTAATACTTAACAGTACTCCTGGGAATTAAGGAGCACAGAGAGTGAGAGAACAGTTATTGGAGAATTGTTAGCATATGAGGATTTGTTGGGACTATAACTTTTATAAAGCAAAATACCAAAGTGTAGTTTTGCTTACCATTAACTTTGGTAATTAGAGAATTTACAAAATCTAGAATCCACTGTCTGCATAAAGTCAGGTTCAGGAAAGGGCTTAGATGTATAAGACAACTCAAGAGTATTTAGTTATTACCTGAAACAAAGATCAGTTGTCAAGTTAATTATTGTCTACTAATTTATTTAATATGATTTATAAGACATTATTAGGAACCATCGACAACATTAGCAAATTTAAACTCTGATTGTATTTTATAACTATTTTTTAATTTGACAGTTTCCATTTATATTGGGAAGCCAAGTTAATGAACACTTCCATGTGGAAATATCTACTTATCAAAATATTAAACATTACTGAAAGCATCAGCTCTAAACCACATTATTACAGCACACTGTGTCATGTTCAGTGGTTTTTTGTTTTTTTTTTGCAGAGTGGGTTTGGAAAGTGGAGGACTAATGAGTGGACTTACAACTGGCTCAGTAGGAATAAGAAATAACATGCATACTATTTCATCTCTATTGCACCCATAATTTGGGTATGCCTAAGGGAATACATTCTGCATAGGAATGCAAAGGGAGAAGGATGAGAACAATCTAACTTAAAGTGACAACATAATTTGGACCAGAATGCTGTTCTGAGTCAGAAATATGTCATACACAGTTTTCTATGGACACACAGAAAATCTGTAGCATTCTTATTCCCTTCCTGGCCCATTGTAAGTCTGTTATCTATCATTTTATTTAATCATTTTTTTAGCTTTTATTACCTCTTTGGCATGGGTTTATAAGTTTTATTACCTTTTCCTTTTAAAAATCCTGTTGCATGCTTGGCAGTTATCACAGTCTTTGGAATTTCAATTAGAGGGTTAATAAATTTGTAAATGAGTCATCACTCATTCTGAGGAAGTACTACTTTTTATTTGTTTCAACTTTGCTTTACTTTTTAGTTTTTACCAAAATCTGTGTTAACTTTGTCCACTCTATTTATGATTTTCTTTGTTATATAGTATAGGCTTTTTCTTATCCCATACTCTTCATTTGTTTAATGGAAAAGCTATCTCTATTTAGTCTGTATATATATAGTAATCCTTACCTTAAGCTGAAATATAAGCTTAAGAATGATGGACCTGTTTCTTGATATCTCTATGTTGTCCACATTAATATGCTAGTATTTAATAATTAAGAGTACTGCCTCTTCAGTGGAGAAGAGTCATAAGGGAACTGAAGTTAGCCTCACTCTAACTGGACCAATTATGTATTTTAAGTGAAATAGGCCAATCTAATTAAAGCCACTTGTGACATTGGCACAATAAGTGTTTGAGTTCCACATCACATCAGGGATCTAGATTGAGTCTGACACGTATAATCAAATTTAAACACTCCTTGGAGTAAAAAATAATTTTCTCATGTACCATGACTGACATCATTTTCTTTATCGGTACTTATATACTTTTTTGCTTTTACTGATTAACATAAATATAAAATATTAATATTTTTGTATTACTTGTGGTTTTAGTTTTCCTTACAGACAGATATGACCAGAAGGCAATTAGAATATGAAGCGAGGCAAATCAGAGTTGCAATGGAAGAGCAACTAGGCACTTGCCAGGATATGGAAAAACGAGCACAGGTAAGTTATTTGTTTCTAAGTGATAAAACAGCCAAGAGCTATTAGGAATAAAATGAATTACAGCTCTGTTAATATTGATTTAATTTTATTATTAAAGATATTTATAAGATTGTCTTTACTTTGGCTCTGTTTCAAAATAAGATTTATCATGGCTACTGAGCAACATAATCAATATTCATATCATAATTGTGTCTTTACCATATTCATTTCCCCGATACTGTTCTGTTCTGCTCTGCCTTGGAATTATAAGGGAGAGAAAGTTAGGTGGTGGTCTTCTAGTAGCTAATAATTGGCTGCAGTTCTCCTTTGAGATTTTTACTTCTTGTAATCTGAGACTGTAATGGCATTCAGAACATGTCACTGCTCTTCAAATTGTGCCCTTAAAAAAAAAAGTAAGCCCTCATTCAAGGATAGTAGGAAGGAAACATAAAGAGAATTTTAGGAGAGATGAAGTAAGTTGTATCGAGAATATTCCCATATTTCTACCCTCAATGTCAAGAAAAAATATTAGCTAGTGTTGCTATTAAGTATTTTTGTATATTATTGAATGTAGTTTTTTAATATTCAAACAAGTTTATGACTGACTAATGTTTTTAAGCCGTGAAGAGTCTTTGCCAGTGCTTTGGCTGTTTCAAAACTAGCATGGGTTGTTGTTCTTTTTTAACTTTTGGGATAAATTGGGAAGAAAACATTTAAAGATTTTCTTTAAGTAACTATTAATAGCAAATAAAAGGAGAAACCAACATTTACATGGTAGTGGCACAAATACATTTTTATTCTATAAAACATATTAAATAGTTTCAAAATGGCTACTGTAGGATATTTTACATTCTTTGAAGTATAATCTTTATTTTTTCTGTGAAGCTTCGTAAACATAATGAATTTTTTTTTTTGAGAAGGAGTCTCATCCTGTTGTCCAGGCTGGAATGCAGTGGCATGATTTCACCT